GTATGCAGAATTTAGCATCAGCACTTTATTGTGATTTATCTTGTAGGTCTTGGATCTAACAGAAGTTCAACCTCACCTTGTGTCATTTATTCGGATCGAAACCAGATATGCATTTTTTTTTTTTTACATTTCCAAAATACCACAAACACAATCTCTCATATACCCAAACTTAGACTACTCTGATAACAATTCTTCTTGTACACCTAAATAATGAGCAAAGCCCTCACAGCTTAATGTAAAAGCAGCGAGTCTGTGGTAGACTGCTCATATTCTACAAAATACACCAGAGGAATTACAACAGGGCTGGAAGAAGTAGCCCAAGAATATTTATTTCTACTTCACCAATGAGCAGACAGCCCAGGAGCCCGGACAGGTGGGGATGATCAGGGCAGAAGAGAGCGATTTGCATTTGAGCTGCCAAACTCCGGAGTCACAGAAGAAAGGCATCAACTGCCACGCAAATGGGAAGCAAATAAGATTCAAATCAGGGCGGGTTAAAGGAGTGGCCAAAAAGATGACAGCATATGAGAGTTTTGTGTACTGGTATGCAGAACTATTTGCTGTGTGCACCATCCAGTCGCTTTTGCTTCTGGCCTTGTGCTAAAAGGCCTTTCCAGTTTTACCGCAACAGCACCACCAGCAGCAGCAGCAGCAACCCTCTGGGGAAGGACAAACCATGACATCAGAACAGTGAAAGGAGCACTGGAGACAATAGTTCTCTGTGCGGGAGAAGGGCCGAGGCGTGGCCTGGCTGGACAGAGGGTCTTCTCAGTGGACCAGCCAGCCTCAGCAGCTGTCTCAACCTCTGTCTGTATCTCTGTCACACACACAATTTCAATTCCGCATGAAAGCTGACATAGCATTAGGACAAAGAGTCAACAGATTTATGTTGAAACCCTCCAGCTCTATGTATCTCTCCTTGTGCTTGTGCGTGCTTGTGTTTGTGTGTGTGTGTGTCAGCCTTTTATGCATGCTCAGTTCCAGCTAAGGAACGCAGGCATGGAGGTGGAGTAGGAGAGCCACAGAGAAAGAAATATGGTTGGTACACAGTGGCAAAACAAAGAGGCAATGGAGAGAACGCCCTCCTCTGATCTGGGGTGATAGTAGCATGGGATAACTGTGCATGTGTGCACATGTAAACACACGTCGCCCCGCACAATGTCTGCTCACATAACAGAAATATATTTATTATAGTCTGTCTGTTGATGTGCAGCAGATGCATATCTCGTGCCAAACTTATTTACCCACACCCTCCAGTGGCGGGTCCTCTTCTTCAAACAGCCGTAAAACTTTACGGGCCATGGCAGAGAGGAGTGAAGAAGCTCACCACGTAGCTGAATTTCACACGGGGAGAGGGGACGGAGCCTCGCTGATCCAGTGAGCATCGGGGACACACGCACCACCTAGGTTGTCAAAAGGAGTCTAACTAGCCCTTTTTCCCTCTTTTCTTTCTTTCTTTTTTTTTTTAAAAAAGAGACTCAATATGTGATGAGCAAACAGAGGACGAGCATCATTGAGCATGTATGAGCAGTGTATTAACACAAAACCCACCTGCCCTTCAGTTTAGGTCTAATGACAACAAATGCAACAAAAGACCTGTGTGATACGCCCGGCCTCGAGGGGCCACCACAGCAATCTATTCAGCCTCTCATTCACCTGTGAGGAGGACTCAATAGGTTTGCATGTTATTAAAAGCTTTCATACACAAGGGCTGATGGCATTATGGATCTGCATAGAGGACACTCACCTAAACTGAGGAGTTTTTAAAATAATGACTGTTTGCCCCATTGTTAGAAACTCCAGCTTTCTGAGCATGAGGTGTTTTTTTTTAAACAACATGCCAGTTCCTGATTTTATCGTCTGGGTTGTTTTAATGTAGATTCAGCAAGTTTCCATTAACGGTCTTGCCGTTACACACAAACACGGAAACACACGAGCAAAACACTCACACAATGTAATAAACAGGGCATTATTGCCACCCTTTCCCCCCCCCTGACAGGCTGCTGTTAAATTTGTAATGATTCAGCCGAGTTTTAAAGTGTCGCAAGATGTAAGCTGATTTGTTCCTGACAAACCTGCACTGTGGAGCTCAAGGCTATTTAAAATACAAACATCAACCTGACTAGATGTAGTTCAAAGCCTGAAATCCGTCATGTCAGCAATGCTTGGGGATCTGACGTCAACCTAAACATGTTGAGAGAAGAGAAGATTTTATCTGTGGGGTTTTCACATGCTTTGTAACAGAGTTTCAACAGAGAGAGTTTCACTGCCTTGATCGTGACTTGACCGACTGACCAAGTTACAGCAGTTTCATCAGGAAATAGCTCCGTGTCATAAGATTGTACAGGCCTCACAGATTAAAAGAGGTAGCTTTATGGGTGCTACAGTGGGGGAATTATTATTTGATCCCCTGCTGAATTTGGAAGTTTCACATTAACGAACAGTCTCTATTTTTTTTAGTAGTTTTATTTTAATGAAGGGAGACAGAATATAATCCAGAAAAAACACATTACCTAAAAGCTACATTAAAGTTTCAAGTTGATTTACATGTCGTTGAGTGAAATAAGTACTTGATCCCAAAAACATGACTTAATACTTGGTGGAGAAACTCTTGTTGGCAACCACAGCGGTAAGACATGTTTTGTAGTTGTTCATCAGGTTTGCACACATCTCAGGAGGGATTTTTGCTCCCTCCTCTTTACAGAAACTTTCTAAATCCTTTAGGGTTTTTTTTTTTATTACTGTTTGGAAACCCAAACCTTGAGCTTCCTCCACAGACTTTCTATAGAGTTGATGTCTGGAGACTAGCTAAACCACTCAATGACTTTAATGTGCTTCTTCTTTTGCCACGTCTTTGTTGCCTTGGCAGTATGTTTTGGGTCACTTTAATGCTGGAAAACCAAGCCATGACCCAAATTTAGTGTTCTGGGTGAGGGAAGGAGGTTCTAGTCCAAGATTTTATGGTATATGGCCCGGTCTTTTGGCCCTTCAGTTCTGTGAAGTCGTCTTGCACCCTTAGCAGAAAAACAGCTCCCATATCATAATGCTTCCACCTCCATGGTGACTGTTGGGATGGTGTTCTTTGGGTCATACACAGCATTTCTCTTCTTCCAAACACGGCAGGTTAAGTTGATGCCAAAGAGCTTGAGTTTGGTTTCATATGACCACAGCATTTTCACTGGTAAACTTCAGACAAGCCTGCACATGTGTCTTCATGAGCAGGTGGAGCTTGCAGACGCTGCTAAATTGCAGCGTCTGCAAGTTCTATTATGTGTGTTACAGTGGTGTTTTTGGTCACTGCTCCTCCCATGTTGTTCTGTGCTGCTTCACCGCCTTTCTCATGATCCTCTTTGTATGATCAGGCAAAATCTTGCATTAAGCTCCAGATTGAGGTGGATTGATGGTCATTTTGTATTTGTTGTATTTCTGAATAATTGCACCAGCAGTTGTCATCTTCTCATTAAGCTGATGGTCAATCTTGTCCCTGATGATTTGACAAATCTTAGGTCTGATTTGTCAAAGGACTGAAAGTGATTCTGTGCGCAGGCGTGCTTTATATAGGTACGAAGTTGAGATCAGGAGAATCTATAACTGACTGACTGATTGTAATCTTTTGTCATGTGGTCACACAGGCAATCTGTGGGAACCTGAATTTTGGCTGAGTTGTAGGGGATCAAATACTTATTTAATATTTTGCCTCTCTTCATTAAAATGAAACTACCACAAAAGAAATAGAGACAGTAATGATAGGACTTTGTACACATTTCTAACAAAGCCTCTTGAGTTTGAAAGTCACATGGGCGAGTCTTTTCTTATCACACACATCAGGAGAAAGAATCACAGAAAAGCTGTTTGAAACTGCTGAGAATGACAAAGAAACATCAGCATGGCTGCGGTCTTTTCAAAAGATACTTTCTGAATCTATCTGGGTGAACAGCAGTTTGGTGGTTTTTGCTGTGACCATGTGACAGTTTCTTAAGGAAACTGTTTCTTTCTGGTTACATTTCTTTGGGTGTCTGTTTCTCTGTAGGATGAACTGTGTAACCCACAGCTGCACACTGAGCAACAGTCTCTTACTTTATCCCCAAATCCAGATCGGTGAGGATCATAAAGTGAAAGATGGACATATACAATGACCAACAAAGAGACACACACAGTATTGCAATTATGTCAACCATGGGCTACAATGTATACCAAAAGGCACAGACTGCCATCTAGTGGTGCCTCTGGATCCTGATACTTCCACCTACCCTGCAGGAAATCTGGATTTGCAATGTGCAATGTGGCTTAATAATGAAGACATGTAGCTTTAATGTACAGCAGTTTAGAAAGATTTTAAGAACATCCTCCTAACCAGCAAAAAAACTGGTGACAAACAGAATAACTTCCAGTCTAAGAGTTGTCTCTTAATTACTACTGCTATTGCTGGAACAATGTGACTGTATTTTATTCTACAGCCCAGCAGCCGAATGGAGAAAATATCTTGTTTTCCTTTTAAATGAAGACAGTTTTAATCATTCCTTAGAGACCTACATAGAATGGTTCTTCACCGTATTAGAAGTACTTAAGTATGTGATCAGGTAAACCTTTTCCACCCACCCTGGATTTCAGCATCAGCAACTGAAAACTGAATATCATGCAGTAAATATATCTTTGAGATACAGAGATGATGGACGTTACCGCCTCTTTAATCATAATGCACCACGTTATGCTGCTGGGAACAGTTTTCTGTAATCAGAAGCTCACGTTGCTAGGTTACAGCATCGGGCTCACCTCTTCTTCTTGGTTTTCGGCCCATTTGACATGTTGATCACATTGTTTCTCTCACGTTTGTGTTTTTATTTAATTTTATTCAAATGTATTGTTAATTATGTGGTCAGCATTTTTTTTAACATTGGTTGCTAATAAATAAACTGACTAAGAACATAAAGAAAGCAAAAGCACAAATATCAACAGATGTGACAGTTTTATTGTTTTAATAAGTAGCAATGGTCTATGTCTTTTTTTTGCTCCGGGCGGACCCACTGTTAGCACTGAAGGGACGAGATGTTGCTGCACACACTGCAGCATCTTGTCTGGTTTTTTTTTTAACATATACAAAACCTGTTCTTAAATTGTACTGATGTATTCTTTTCACAGCATTACAATGGCAGCTGAAATTTAAAAAATGTAAAAAAAAAAAAATAATAAAAATGAACCAACAAAGAAAAACGTTCCAAACAACAGTATAAAACTCAGAGATGCATGCTGAATGTTACTGATCCGATGATTGCTCTGCTGTACATCACATGGAACAAAAACAACTACAGAAACGTCCCTACCTAAATCATGCAGAGCTGTAATAAATGGTATGTTACATCACTGGCCTCTTTCACATACCTTCCATTTAATTGCAGGAATCTGAACACGTGGCTTCATACATCAGTGAGGAGCCTGCATTGCAACGGTAATGCCACTAGGTCAGGCTGAGTGACACAAGTGAGACTGTTTGCTGCAGAGTTAACATGACTGCATGTGCACAGTGCATATTTGCGAGTTGCTCAGCCCAACCCACTAGAAAATACCATGCAATAACAAGTTATATTCATTTCTATTTACAGTAAGAATAAAGTCATTTTGACCATTTCCAATTCCCAAAAGTTAGCATGGTCTGTGTTCTATCATGAAGCCGGCGTGTCCAGTTGCCGGCAGATCAACGGACAGGGAAGCCTGAAAGAGGCCTTTGATGCAACTGACAGCTGTTCGAGCTGTGTGTTAGATTGAAGAGGTTTCTTCCAATATTTTTTTCACCACAGAAACTGTGGTTTCCTCTATCCATCCAGTAATTTGAGAATGCTTTCTCTCTCCTTCAGTGCTTTCCAGGCCTGATCTTTCTCCTTCTTAGTTGGGGTACGTTTCTTCTGCCTGGCTGCCATGATTCGCCGGAACGCCTCCATCACCTCATTGTCAGACACCCTGACTCTCTGCCTTAACTCCTGTTTGCGCATCTCCTCTTTTGCCAACCTGTGAAAAAACAGCAAATCCAGAGTTTCATGTGATCAAAGATCTCTAACACATGTACAGTTTCACTTAGGTGGCAAACAGAACCACTGCTGCTTTCTGTCCTCACCGTAGCAGCTCCTGCTTTCTGGCTCGGTTGTGAGCGGTCAGGGCTTTGAGTTCTGCTTGTCTCTTCTGCAGCTCTGCAAGGACCTCATCCTCAGAGTCTCCTCCCTGGCCAGGTCGCTCCTCGGAGTCCAGCAACCCCTGGGCTACCAGCTCCTCTTTGATTCGAGCCTCCAGGGAGCGCGTATGAGGAACGCTAAAGATGGCGAAGATCATAAGAAATATGCAGATGCAGAGCGGAAAACACCACTAAAACAACCAACGAATATCATCGAGGAAATATATATTAAAAAATGTTACCACCTTAAATCTAGAACCAATTTTTCCCTTTAAATTTAATGGACAGGAATAAACATCCATGTTTGTGTGTGCAGGCACAGCTGCATGAAAGTAGACAGTAAATTGAGGTACTTTGAAGAGTTAGCTGCTGACCTGCCAAAACATCCTAAAAATGATTGAATGTGTTTTGTCTTTTGTTTCATGCTGAGGATACCGAAGTCTGTGTGGATGAGGAGATTGTGTTCAAAAATGGCTGCTATTTCAGAAGGTCCTCTCATGTAATACATCAAAAATGTATTTGATGCTGACATTATACCTAAAAGCTTTTCCTTGGCTTCGGGGTGAAGTCCCAGCACCATCGTTAGCATCCTTTCCTGAAATGTCCGGTATAGGGGAATCCTCCATGGGGGATATAATGTTCTCCTGGAAGAAACCATGCTCATGTATTTATATGTATATTATTATTTGTATTTTTTAAAACACAATGATGCATTATTATAAGCGTTATCAGGGCATAAGCTGGTCACAAAATGATGAGTCTGACCTCTACAAGGGCCTGGAGCAGACGCTGTGTGAGAGGACCAAAGGGACAACCGTCTTCTGGAGATTCGTGTTGGGATTCTGACTTTTTCAGCAGCGAGTCCACATCTACAGCAAGTGAAGATAAATGTTAGTGTTAAGGTGGAGTTACTAGTTCATGCACAGTCATGTGTCGGTGCAGGTGAGCCTTCCCCTCACCTTTTGCGTCCAATTCAGAAAGCGGCCCTCCCATGACGCTTTTCTTTTTGTCGTTGGCTCGTGCTCCTTCCCTCTGCTCCTCCAGCAGATCCTCCTGAGCCCACCGCTGAGAGTAGTGTTTTCCCAATGCTGGAATCTACCATTAACACAGATCAGCCCCAAACCACAAAACACTCTTATTCACTGCATTGGATACAGTTATTTGTAACATAACGTTGCGTACATGGCTCTATGTCATACCTTGAAGTAGTCTGCTTCATCCTCTGGTGGTTTAAGAAGCTCCTCCAACAATCGTACTTCTTCATTTGTAATATCTGCACAGTATGGCTCCACTGAGGCCCAGAATCTTAAAAACAGAAATATTACAAGGTAATATAAGAATAAAGTTCTTTACTTGCTAAAACACACATTTGAGAATAACTTGAAAATTAGAAGGAAAAAAAATGAAACATCAAAGAGAAAATAAACTAAGCAGATATATTTTGTATGTTGTTGCGGACCTGTTGGGAGCATCATTTTTAGGGTTGCGGGGAATGTCTTGAGGGTCATCTGTAAATTCATACTCTTGTACTTTTGGCTGCAGGTTTTTAGTTTTGGGTCTGCCGGGACCTTGGCCTGGCCCATGACCCCCTTTACCGTCCAATTTCTGCTTCTTTGGTTTGTGGCGAGATGAGGCAGCGGGGTCTGGGTCTTTTCCCAACTTCAGAAAGCGTTTATCTCCCTTCTTATCTTGCCAGTCTGTAAGGATCTGAGATAAATAGAGAGGAAAAAATTATGGTAGCCTTTAATATACAAGGTTGCATCTAGATGCTTAGAGATGAAAGCTTTATGGTTAAAAGAAAAGTTATATGAAAGAAGAGAGGTCACCAGCTTGTTCCTACCTGTCTCTGCTCTTCCAGTGCTCGGAGGCGGCGGGTAGCTGACGACAGCAGTGTCTCCAGCTCCAGCTGCAGGGTATCCAGCTCTTCGATGCCGATGCCATCATCCTCTGAGCGGCCCAGCACAGCAGTGTAGCGGGGGCATACCTTGACATGCTCCACGGGCTTAAAGTCGTAGTATTTCAGTGGGGGGCAGTCCTTCAGCTCACTCATGATGTATTGCAGCAAAGACCTGACAGTGATTTTACTGGCATAAGACAAAATACTCATTAGATTATCAGACTGACATACAATGTGAGTCCAGCTCTGTGCCTGTAGCTCTCACACACAAATTCAGAAACACTTACGTACGGCCGCACGTACAGTCAGGACTGCTTTAAAGAGCGCAGGCTCGCTGGGCCCGAAATGCTGTAGAATACGTTTAAATTCTAACAAGGGTTTCTTTTATATTCATGATTTGCGCACAGACGCTTTAAATGTGGGCGTTTTAAACCCACACCACACAAACATAGCGCACAAATTATAATGTGTGTAATGTTTTAGAGCAGCGATAGTTACCTTCACTGAATGGCGTCCATGATGGGTGAAACCATTGTGGTAAGAGGGGTGTGTGTGTGAAAATTATTCACCTAAAATGATGTCCAATTTTATATATAATGACGATTCTGAGGAGAAAGAATAAGATAATTAAATTTTTACAAAACCTAACCAGGCATTTTAAGTCGTAAAAGCAATTTAAAAAGTGGTAAGTCTGAGAATACAGAGTCTGGAGACTTGGCGCTTCATAGAGCCTGTTGAGTAGTCTATCACAATGGTATCATCGGATGATACCAAACCTAGGCGTATTAAAAATATTTGCTGCCAAGCTTTTAATTTGGAAGTTAGACAGTATAGTTTGTGTACGTTAATCTTGATAATTGACATCTAACTATCAAAACCATATAAGGTAAAAATAAAAACTCGTGAGACAACAGCTGTTGTCCCCTCTTCATAGTGCAGAATGGGAACACCCTAGGGTGTGCTCGTTTTATGAAAAATACACTCCACCTGGGCGGAGAAATAAATGCGAACCGTGACATTTACGCTGGGTGGGTAAAAACTATTCATTACACTAACCCTTGCATCAAAACGAACACACCATAGATTTTCTCGACTATGTAGGATTTACGGAAGAGTCGTCCCAGGCGTGGCTGAGGAACTTCCGTCTTTTACAGCTCAAAAATGGTAAGTCTCCAGCACAACACTCAGCTTTATATTTAATTATTTAGCGAATTACCCCAAGTAACTACTGCCACATTTAACTTAAGATTAGCTAGCTAGCTGTGTGTTCCTTGTAGACGTGGTTTCTGGTTGGCTGCAGCAAAATGAGATTACGGGCATCCTTGATACGGTTTGCAGAAACAGATTGACTGAGCTGTCTTTTCCTCTCGTTTCCTTTTCTGCTCGTTTCTGTGACCTGTAGCTCCACCACAGTTTGTCCTTAAACCGTGGAAAAGCGACGTATATAGCTGGCATAAACACAGTAAATAATTTGGATGAGCTGCAGTGTCGATCACCTGAAGGCATCACATCCTCTTCTGCATTCATATCGCAGAGAGATCTACACGTAGCTACGTCGCATTAGTAGATACTTGTTCATTCTGCCTGTGATAACAGATAGCTGTCAAGTGAGACTTGCACACGGATTATTGTCATGCGTAGCCTTAAATACCAGTCCCTGCCGGGCGATTTACCTTTATTCAACTGGAAGGATCTCATTGCATGTGCCCGAATCCTCCCAGGTTTTACCTTTTATTACTTTTCTCTTCAGACAGCGACTCTGCGCCCCTACTTAAACGCTGTGAGGGCCACCTTGCAGGCAGCCCTATGTCTGGAGAACTTCTCCTCTCAGGTGGTGGAGCGCCACAACAAGCCAGAGGTGGAGGTCAGGTATGTTTAGCAGCACTCAATTGAGTCTCACTGGTTTGTCCCCTGCTGCTTCCCACCCTATGCTTCCTCATGTTTCTCCTGCCCTAAAGATGTGTGTATTATGATCAGCTGCTGGCAGACGAGTTCAGTCATGTGCAAACTTGCATAAGAAAATCAAGGAGGGAAGAAAAATGGCTACAAGCAAGGGCAAGGCTTTAAAGTTGGACTGAAGGGACTTGCCTCAGCTTGTTCGCAGGTGTCCTCCTCGTTCAGTGTTGCGGGGTCTCGAGCATAACGTTGAGTTTTACTGTGTTTAGAAAGACTGTTTTTGCTGTTGTTACAGGAGCAGTAAGGAGCTGCTGCTTCAGCCGGTGGTGATCAGCCGTAATGACAAGGAGAAGGTTCTCATCGAGGGATCCATCAACTCCGTCAGAGTCAGTATTGCTGTCAAGCAGGTCAGTAGAGCTTGCATGGTTTTAACTTTTATTGTGGTTATGACTTTCCAGAATATTCTAACACTCTTTTAAAACTACTATGATTGACTGCAGGCCGACGAGATCGAGAAGATCCTTTGCCACAAGTTTATGCGCTTCATGATGATGAGAGCAGAGAACTTCTTCATTCTGCGGAGGAAGCCAGTAGAGGTAAGAGACAGTGAGTGACGAAAGAGAAATCAGTACTTATTAACAGTATCAGAGGAAGAATACTACGTACAAAACGAGGAAGTGTGGGAGCTTTTTAAATGAGTCATAAAGGTCTTCATGCATGCATGTTTTAGAAACATCATACAGACAGTAAACACCTCAATAAAGAAGATCCAGAAGAGGGTTGGTGCAGCAGGGGAGGATGGTAGGGATGGGGGAGTTGGAGGCAGACGATCCGCTGTGTTGACCCCTAAAGGGAGCAAGCAAAAGAAGGAAACAACATTAAATATCTCAGTATTTACACTAGCTTTAATGCAGTAACACAAATGGTGTCTTTTCTTTTTTCCACTCTTATTTTAGGGATATGATATTAGCTTCTTGATTACCAACTTCCACACGGAGCAGATGTACAAACACAAGTTGGTGGACTTTGTCATCCACTTCATGGAGGAGATCGACAAGGAGATCAGTGAGATGAAACTTTCGGTTAATGCCAGGGCCCGTATCGTTGCCGAAGAATTCCTCAAGAATGTAAGTGACTTGTTCGCTTCCTGCAGTGGTTCCGCTTTTATTATTGCCTCGTGTTAATTTGATTCTCTTGTCTTTACAGTTCTGATGGAAGTGTTGGTGTTTCCCCCCGTGCCACCCTGGGAATGTTCCAAGGGCCACTCAGCACAAGAGTGGAGAGTTAAAGGAGTAAGCAGCCGACCCGAGAGGAGAGGAACGTGACCAATCTGGCTTTGATGCCCTTTATTTACCCTTTACACCCGAGTGTCTTCCTGTACTCATGAATATCAATGACTGTACATAATGAAATATTTACAGTTTCATTTTCAGCCACTTAGAACAAATCCCCAAACAAAGGCGGGTCCTTAAAGTATTAATCAAGTTGATAACCATGAGTACAGGAGCGCTGAGGCTGTGCTGTTCCAAATAAAACTCAGAAGAATTTTGTATTTTCTTTGTCTGTGTGTTCTGTCGCTGTCGTTTTAAATTTGTCTCCAAATTTTCTCTGTTCAGGACATACTTGTTTGTGGAAGTGTTAAGTCACACGTAGAAAGAGCTCACTGTAAAGAAACTGCCATCAGTCATGCAAGAAGATACGGAAATATAATAATAAAACTCAGTTGTTTATACCCGTTTGTGTTTGAAAGCTGCCGTTTTTGCTGCACTGTTGCTGTTCCTATAAATGGATTTGCTCTGTTTCAGAGGAAGTTGTTCTGAGCCTGCCCTTTAACCACATTTTGCTTTATGCGTAACTGCTGTGCGCCGTTTCAGCCGCCAGGAAGGGGAAGTGCAGGCAGGGTGTGAGTCGCTGCATCTGACGGCGTTTGTTCACATTTACAACTTAATCCGAATCGTTCGATCCAAATCAAGACTTGAGTGTGCTGTGAAGAAAGCGCCATTTTCACAATAACCTTAAGTATTTCTAAAAATAAAAAAATCCACTTTAATTTGAGCAGCTGTACTTACTACACACACACATGCTTCACAAAAGTTGTGACTCGTGGAGGCTGATACTGCCGTCACACGCAGGGAGGAAGAGATTTGTGTTTCTGTCCTGGCTCGAAGAGGACGCAGCCAAATTAACTTTACAATAATGGAAAGATAGCTTTGCAACTTCCTAAGTTTCCATTGTGATACCATGGTTCATGCGTTTGACTGTACAGTACTGTGCATAAGTGTTAAATCACCCCATATTTATATTTTGCTAAGAAAGTAGGAAATGCAGCAATTGATTGGAAGGTATAAACGAACATAGAAATACTTTTTTAAATGGCAGAACAGCTTGTAAGTCAACATTTGATTTGATCACCGTTATTCTTAATCACAGCCTGATGTCTTTTAGGTAAGCTCTCTTGTCATTTCTTTAATGAGTCTTCAGAAATAGTTCTGCAGGCTTCTTGAAGGACATCAAAGATGATCCCATACTGCTCAATGTTGATAATCAGATTATCTTCAGATGGTATTTCCTGGTTGATCAAAATCTGATTAATCTGTTTAAAATCCCATGAATTTTAACAAGATCTCTAAAACCACTGGCTGAAAGGCAACCCTACACCATGACAGCCCCTCCACAGTGTTTTACAGATGGCTGTAGGCGCTCACTGTTGGACCTCTCTCGTAAACACCTCCGTACATATTGACGATTTGACGTTTTTGATTTGGCTCCCTCACTCCTGGAGATCTGTTGCCACTGATTTTCAGTCCAGTTGTTGTGTAATTACTCGCCCAGTTTCCTTAAATTTTTTAAGCACACACTGCGCAGCATGTTGGCCACACAGAAAGGCCCCGTCCAGATGATGGAGTCAACCTTAGGACCTTCTTGCTGTGAGGCAACAGTGCTAACCACCGCGCCGCCCACAAAGAATCCCATTATCAAGAAATAACCACAACACGAACCAGTACTGCACAAAACCCTCATAAAGAAACCCATCACAAGGTATGCAGTCACAAAAATCTCAAGTGAGAAGACAGATTGGAGTGGTTGGCTTAAAAAAATAACATCTTTATTATCGTGTAGTTGGGATGTACATTTTTTTTTTATCTTAACCCACAACACCACCTTCAAGCTAATATTGTGTTCTTTGTTTCTGTTTTGCATGTTTAATGCTCTGATGTGTTCTCCACAGAAATGAGTGAAAGCATGTGAGTGTATTTCACTGAAGGCCCGTGTGTGGAATCATCATTTACATAAAAACATCAGTTTCAGCTGACACTGTACAAGCAGATACAGTACACCACATAGCTAAGGAAAGCTATTACACCAGCCAGCCCTACAAAATGAAATGGCTACTTGTTTACCATTAAAAATTAACGACCCAGTCCTTTAATCTATTACTGAATCAGCACTTTAAAAATAGTAAGCTGTTGTCCGAGTGGGTTTGCAGCCTACAAATTGCACATTATCACTGAACACAGCTTCACATCCGATGATGATTGCACGCTACAGTTGCATATCAAAAACATGGAGCGGGGAAAAAAAAATCACAGGGTTAATACTTCAAGACACATCACAGTAACTTTCAGTGTTAGTGCTACTGCTGCGCAAAATCAACACAATGAAACCACACCGAGTACAGTAACAGGCAGACAGGAATCTGCTGTGTGAGCCAAGCGTTTAACTCCCTGCTGTGCAAGACAATACTTTGATTCATAAATAATTTGGAACAGCGATGCCGAGGGCCCCGCGCTGAACACTGAGGCCCGGACACTCGCAGGTTCCTCAAAAAAATATGCTTAAACAAGGGGTAACAGAGAAATGTGTGTGTGTGTGTGTGTATGGCGCTGGTGGAGGAGGAAGGAGGAGACACATTAACCTGCTGGTCACCAGTGTGAGGAGGTTGTGCACATTTGGAAAGGTGAAAAAAAAAGGAAGAAAAAGGAGGAAGGTCCAGCTTTCAGCATCACCGGGTTCCAGCCAGCAGAGGTATCAGAGATGAGGAGGGACGGTCTGCAAGGCGTCTTCAGCCGTACGTTGGACGTTCACGTTCTGGAAGAAGGAATGCAGCAGCGTCAGTGTCCTGAGTGAATATACGTCAACACAAGCCCACTTTTCTCAGAAGTCACCAAAACAAGGACTCTTCTTTTACTGGGGTGAAAAAAAAGAAAGCCTTTTTTTTCTCTCTGTCAGTGGATGTTAATGCTTTTGTCTGCTGCTGCTGTGACTTCTTCCATCAGTTTTCCATCCACGACATTTTGCATTTCTTTTGCCCAAGGCACCATCTGGAGAGCCCCATCACCATGACAGTCACTGGCGTGAGCAGACTGCCAAGTAATTGGTGTCTGGAAGTTGGTAAGTACATGTTTCTCTAAACCTCACAGCAGCACCTGAGACTAACCTAAAATGCTTGTTACTACTTTTTCTTTACTTTAAATGTGATTTTTTAAAATTTCCTTTCTTATTTTGTTTAATTTTAATCAGAGAGCCTTGTGAAGTCAGTGCAGACAGAAATCTGTGACTGGCACAGTGAGTGTTTTGTTTAGCTGTTTGCTATTCACCCCAGTGGAGTCTTTGCATATGAATGACCGGGAGAGATCTCAGTCTCCTGGTTTGCACTGCACTGAACGTTTCATGTGTACACAGAAGATACGAAGGAAATTCCAGCGTTTGTTTGATCTCCCTCTGATATCAGTAAGAAACACCCAAGTCAGCGTTCTACACCCATTTTAAGTCTTTGCCAATTCATTAATATCAAAGAGTGAAGCAGATTCATGCCATGCTTTCTAAAATGAAGCACAAAAAGAGTGTGATAAAGATACATGATATGGAAGTGTAGTTTATTTAAAAACAGTCAACAGAAATAGTTTCCTCTTAGTTCTGATCAGTGACGTGAAAAACACTGTGAGAGTCTTCACATTGTTTCACAAGAAAAGTGTAATTTCATATTTCCAGCATTTTCATTAGACAGTGTTAGGACATCTTAACAAATTAAACAGGAGCTTATGTGCAAATATAGAGAAACTGCACCACTTTGCTACGTCACAAAGCGCTAATCTTAAGAGTTTCCTGACTGCTATCAACAAACATATAAAGTGATGGCACACCGTTAAAAGTTAACGTGGTTAAAAATCAGTTCAACAGACAGAATCAAATAAACAACGTGTTCACTGACTGCACTTCAGAAGGTGCTGGAGTGTCACTGTTTCACAGTCGGGAGTACAGCATCAGTTCAAAAACACCTTCATTTGTTGTTGTTGTTGTTGTTGTTTGATTGTTTTGTTTTTTTATTCATTCTCCAAAAATAGGAGAATGAGCTTGTCACAAGGTCCGTGACAGGATTAATAAATGAAAAATTACAAACTGGATTCCAGTCGATTACCACCATCATCACGTCTTATTATTACAAGAGAAGGAAGAATAGAAGACGTGAAGAGTGGAAAGAGACTCAGTCAGGGATTTTTTTTTTCCTGAAGGTACACTGTGCATCTGAAGGGTTCTGTGTGGGTAATGAAGGACTAAAGGAGGGGGGAGGGTTGGGGGTGATGGGAGGGGAGGGTACTGCCTCACTGGTGAGATGGCACTGTTAGCAAAGCTTCCTCTGACATCCGCGACACGTCTACGTTCTGTTTGATAAAAAAACAGACAAAGAGGAGGAGGGATCAAAACACAAGGGAGACATGAAATCCACTGGGCACACACCATGTCAAAGACTTGGAATAATGCATCACGTTTAAGGTTTCAATGTTTTTTTCCCCCCACGTGGATTTATCTGTTTTTCCACTTGTGTGACAGCATCAAGAAGAAATGAAAACCACTGTATGCACATATTTATGGTTTTGCCAATCTAGTGCAAAAGTTAAAAAATAAAATAATGTAAGTGCTCAACCATAAAACACACGCAGAGCATAAAACATTCACTGTTGTAGTATTTGTTATGCAGAATTCATCGCTGTTCAGAATCAACTCCTGTTAGAAAATAATAATAATAATAAAAAACAGTTAAAATGGTCCAGTTGGAGGACTATTTACCTAAAGGAAATGAGGGAGAATGTGAGGAGCAGTTAGTCAGTGTTTCATTAATCTGTAACCAGAGATGGGCAGTAACGTGTTACTTGTAACGTAATTAGATTACCGTTACTTTCCCGTAAGCACGCTGCATTACTGTGTTACTAAAACCGTGATTTTTTTT